ATTATGTCTGGCGTGCACAGTGCAATTAAACCCTAAGATAGATGCATTCTGTTTCAAATGTAAATCCCCAGCACCTCCTGACTGGACCACGGGCAACAAAGGTTTGGATTTATTCATTATGGAATCATGGAATAATGTAAAGGAAGAGGACGATCCCTATATCCGATGGGTAGAGTATTATTTATTGACAGATGTACGACAGATGACCTCATTGCGTCATACAGCAAATTGGTTAGATCCGAGAGCAAATGGATTGACAGTTGGAGTGATGCTCAAAAAAGTAGTTGAACAAGCTGCTGATCGGTTTGATTTTCAGGTATATTATTTCAAGTGTAACACAATAATATTAAGCATGTGTTCTTGCATTGATTGTGTTGTATATCTGATGGTTTTGTATTGTTTCTTCAAATAGCTTATTAATGAATACCCAGAAATATTAACACCTGAGAATATTTTAATTTGGATAATTGGAATCACTCGTGAGCCATCTACCGGGGAATATTATTTAGTTTTCTACCATGATATACATAAATTTATACCTCTTTACAAAAATGTACAGTATATGCAATATGACAACTTCTATAAACTCGAAGAGATCGGATCTGGTGGTTATGGAACAATTTATACTTCCAAATATGAAGGCGACAATAAAAATGTGTCGGGAATCGTTGCGCTTAAACGTTTTAATAAGGCGCCGGAATTACTTATCGTTATGTCCGAAGTAAGCATTTTTTTATATGATTAACTAACGCCCATATTTAATCTGACCCTTTTTATTTTATTTAACAGTTCATTAATCATAGCAAGTGTTTATCTTTTAATTTCCTTCGGCTTTATGGAGTCACGCAAGATCCGAACACAAAAGAATGCTTGATTATTATGCAATACGCCAACAAAGGTAGCCTTATGTCTTATTTGGGTGAAAATGTTAACAAATTAACATGGAGAATGAAACTACAGCATCTGGAGGATATTGCATATTATCTGAAAGATATTCATAATGCAGGGTTAGTGCATTGTGATCTTCATGGTTGGAATATAGTTATGCATGACAATCAGGATGATGATAAGCCTAAAATAGAATCATACATATGTGATCTTGGTCTTTCTCAATCAGCGGATTCACATCAGAAAAATTTAAACATTCGAGGCATTATACCCTTTATTGCGCCGGAAGTCTTTCATACATATGAATTTACTCAAAAGTCAGACATATATTCTTTTGGTATTATAATGTATTTACTTGCTAGTGGTGAACCACCTTTTAGAGATAGAGAATTTGACAGAGATTTAGTATGTGATATCATGGGCGGGCTGCGGCCAGGGATGCCTGACTCAACACCAGAAGAATACAGGAAACTTGCTGAATGGTGTTGTGATGCTGATCCTGACAAACGTCCGGATGCATTCACGATTTGGCCTCATATTTTCAATCTTGGGCAAGAGTTGGATAAGGGTAATTTTGATGACGTATGGAATACCATTTATTATAATAATGTAAGACCTTTATCAAGTCTTGAAAAGGAGAGTAAATATTCTAGTAAGGTACTACCTACTGGAGATTTGCCCAAACCAAGAAACAGTCATGATTTTGATTCCATTGCAGGTATGACCGACAACAATTGGTTACGCGTATATTCAGAAATATTAATATTAACTTGTCTATTGTTTATAACTTAGTGACACAAAATGTTGAATGAAGGTCTTTCTATTACGCGAGTTGTCAAGGATACTTAAATACGACGATATACTTGATATGAATAAAATTCTCGGTCGATATGGTCGATTGATATTAGAAGTTACAAATCGGCGGTAAACAGATAGTGTTGCATATAATATGTAAAAAGATTGATCGTTATAAACAGATAATTGGTGTTGCCGAGTTCGAATATTACATTATCTTTCAATAAGAGTCTTTGATTTTGAGCTTAAAGTTTTGGTGTATATCGCCTAGTTTCTTTGATTGTTAATATGTTTTTAGACATGTTGTAAGTTGAAAGGCTAATAGGTTAAGCATTAATAAACCGACGACTCCTAGCCAGTTAGATAAAAGGTGAATATAATAAAACTAATCATAAATAACTACTTCGTACTGTGAAGAGACATTGGTTATAAGGAATTTCTGATTATAATAAAAACTTTACCCCGCAGTATTGTTATGGGTTAGCCGTATTAGTATTCAATTTATATGTACACTATTTAGACAAGGCTTCGCTTCGGTCTGGGTGTGTTGTTTTATGGGTGTGTTTCATTAATCTTTTTCAACAAACATGTCTAAATTCATAAATCAAGAAAGTAAAAAATGAAAAGATCAATAATCGCTCTGTCTATGATACAGATCTGCATAAAACAGAATACAAGTAGAAACACATGAAAAAACTATGTATGGGATTTGACCAAAAAAATATTTGACTGTTCAATAATTAGTAAGCGAGAGCATATGTTAGTATGTATTCCTACTTCCATTATAAGTTTAAACAGCGTTTCCCTGAATAATTACGTATTCAACTGTTTACAATCTTCAATATCAGAACTAATTATATTGTAAAACAGATTAGGGGTACACTGTCAGAGAACAGTTTAATTTTTTTTGTTTATATATTTTTCTAATGAGTAGTGTCTTGTGAGTAATATTATGCGTTAAGTTATTTTAGACATTAATGTTTTATTATAATTGGATAATCAGAACTGTGGATGTTAATTACGTATGTGTCATATTTGAAGCTCATATTTACGTTATTTGACGTGAAATTGCAGACTGTGAACATTATCCGATCATCAATTCCGAAGAATATACAATTGCAGCGAGGTTGGGGAGGGAGAACGTTGTAACGTGAGGCATGTTAAAAAAGCGATCAAAGCTGTGTCTGGTTGTTCTGGGGGCAACAGCGTCAATATATTAATTTACAGTCGCGTGATTATTGCTTATACGTAAAATTTAAGTTTGGCATCTAAAGTTTGCGTTATAATTTTACCTATCGCAGTCTTGTGTCCGCACAATTTATGATGGTAATCCTGGGGTAGAAATGTTGCGTAATTATTGTACTCAGTAATAGTGTATAATTTATACGATTGAAAACTTTGATCATACATTATTATATATATCAAGTCGTCCGGGTGGGAAATTACGTCTGATATATTGCATGTCATAATGCTCAAATATTAATATGGAGATTCTCTTGGTCACGATTGGCGCCCAATGAAATTGTCTGGAGCCCATGTCAGAAATTTCAACGGCCTCAAACTAGACAACAAAACCAGCAAAGAAGTCTGATTTTGATAAAAATAATTCACTTACTGCAGAAGCTCTCCAAATAGCGGAGCCAGCAAGTTAAAAGATGTTTATAGGTACAAGTCACACGGGTTGGTTGAGATCGACATGGAGGCAATTGACCAATGACGACGCACTACGTATCGTATACAATTTAAAAGTATAAGAATTACAAACAAAATATCATCTATGGTTAGGTTCTAATAGATCAAACATTATTGGAATACAGAACACTCTTAATAATATAGAATCGATCATATACAATATTCTCTTAAGGAATATAGATAAACAAAATTTATCAGTATTAGGTCTGAAATAAAGCTTATTAATCACTTTACTCAAGTCATCAAGCATGCATTAGTACTGACTCATTAACATAAACAAAAATTATAATGACTATTGCTATTCCAATCTCTGTCCTTGGTGGCCATCATTCATGCACGTTACGTAAATTCTATTTACAAAGAGAATAGCAATAATCTGATTGATCAATACAAATATTAATTACGTGTATGCATAGGAACAATAGTTTATACTGAAAACCTACTGCAACGCGCAGGATAGAGAGGTGTGCAATTATCACCAAGTCCCAAGTTCAGGCCGTGTCAAACTGTGCATTTAGGAGGGTGTGCACTTAGAGATTTTTTATCTGTAGTACTCTGCAGCAGTTTAGGGCCGAAAACCCCTGATCAGATATTATCTTGTGACGTGATACAAGTAATATCAAATTGACATAAGCTGTTATTTATTAATTATGAAGCACGAATGTATTTTGTAGAAACAAATTCACACTTTATTGTGCATAGCCCGTCAAGAAACGTTTTCGCTCGCCAAAATTTTTGTCAGACTTATTAAAACAATGAGTGGATTGCACTTATGCAAGAATAGAAACGTCTCGTAAGTTTGTTAACACGAAATTACAATATTGTAGCGAGGAAGAAACGTAAAATTCGTTACGTTTTACCACACGGTTTTTATTATAGAGTGTTACATAAATGTGAGTGTACCAAAATATCCCCCGAGTAAAACACCTCTTTAAAAAATTTTTTATAAAAAGTCTTCGTTACTGCGATTAATGTTAGATAACCCCCTAAAGTTTATTATTTGCGTGATGGTTCCGATCATTTTCATATGATCGAGGGGGCGGTGCTTATTCACGAGAGGATACGGTATTAATTAACACAAACTGTTCTATTCATGCAATTTTGTTGCACAGATGTCTAACCTCCGAAAATAAACACCCCATTATAATTACATATTTGGACGACTGATCTATGAAAATGATGAGTAAAATTTTTACAGGAGTTCTGTAGCACGGTACCACAAATCTCAAATCTGTACCCCAAAATGCTTGCTGATTATCTAGATCATGACGATGGCCTCGTATTTCTTTTTCTGCTTCTCTGACCGTTTATTCTGTAATTTAATCTTTTCACTCTTCAATAAAAAGCAAAAACGCATAAAGAAAAGCACGTTTAATCAATCTATTTACATAAACGCCCAAGTCGCCCGCCAGAAGTCTATTGGTTTGCGAAATGAAAAATGGGGATGATCTGACGATCATCTAGATCAAGATCAGTCGTCTATAAGTAATTTTATACGAACATTCTCGCCCAATCATAAATTAATGAAACTAATGTTTAATACTCGCGTTTCCAACATTCCCCCCAAAAATACTTTCACTCTTTGAAAAAAAAAATTTGGAGATTACAGCGAAAGTTTGGTAAATATGTCGACCCGCTCTGCTATCCTAGGTTTTCCACGCATGGGTGCAAACCGTGAACTGAAGCGCCTGGTTGAATCTTTCTGGTCAGACAATATTACCGAGTCCACCCTTTTGGAAGGCATTCGTGAACTGCGCAAAGATCATTGGGTGCTCCAAAAAGAACTTGGGTTGAATATTATTCCGAGTAATGACTTCTCGTTGTATGATCATGTCTTGGACCATGCATTCATGGTTGGTGCTATCCCGAAGCGCTATCGAGATGTCTTCATCAAGGATGAAAATGAGTTACCCTCCACATTAGAAGGCGATGCACTATCGACATACTTTGCCATGGCGAGAGGTTATCAGAAATTTAATGAGGGCTCTGATGCGCCTGCTATAGATTTGCCTGCGATGGAGATGAAAAAGTGGTTTGACACGAATTGTAAGTAGCATAGCAGTCATTCGATCTCTCTTTTATGTGCATCAGTTTTTGCACGGCGATATTTATTTCTATACGCTTGATCACCTGTAGACCATTTCATCGTTCCCGAATTCGAACCGACACAGCAATTCAAGTTGACTAGTACTAAGTTTCTTGAAGAGTACAAACAAGCAAAATCTCTTGGTATTGAAACTCGACCTGTTTTCATCGGTCCAGTTTCCTTGCTCCTTCTTGGCAAAGCTTCATCGAATGCACAAGTGGGCTTCGCACCGATCCAACTCTTGGACAGACTTTTACCTGTATACGAAGAGATCGTTAGGCTTCTAGCCGAAGCTGGGGCATCTTCACTTCAATTTGATGAATCATTTTTGGTAATGGATTTGGATCCCAAATTGGCTCAAAGTTACCTCACCGCATACTCGCGTCTCTCCAAAGTTGCAGAGGGATCAATAAAAATACAACTCACCACCTACTTTGGCGATATCACACCCAACTTGTCTTTCATTTTCCCTAATCTTCCCATTAGTGGCCTTCACATCGATCTAGTCAGGGCTCCACAACAATTTGATACAATTCTCAACGCCGTCGCGAAACATCCAACACTCCAGCTGTCCATTGGTGTCATTGATGGGCGTAATATCTGGAAAAGGGATCTACGTGCTGCTTTCGATATTGTTAGCAAAGCTATAACGACTTTAGGGGCAGATCGTGTTATAATTGCATCGTCGTGTTCATTACTTCACACTCCGCATTCTTTGGCTGCAGAAGTTGAATTGGCACCTGAGATCAAGGATTGGCTTGCTTTCTCTGTTGAAAAGATTAAAGAACTCGTTCTCCTTGCCAAAGCTGCGAATGACGGTATCGATAGCATTCAAGCTGAGTTGGAGGCTAACCAAGTATCCATTCAAAATCGTCGCACATCACCAAAAATTCATAACCCTGTCGTTCAAGAAAGGCTAAAAGGAGTGACACGTGACATGATGCGTAGATCGCCCTTTAGCGAGCGCAAAGTGAAGCAACATGAACGGCTCAAGTTGCCTCGTTTCCCAACCACTACTATTGGAAGTTTTCCTCAAACGGCGGAAGTTCGCAAAGCGCGTGCGGCGTTTAGGAGTGGTCAACTCTCGAAAGAGCAATATGACGAATTTATCAAGGACGAAATAAAAAAATGCATCCGTTTTCAGGAAGAATGTGGTATTGATGTTCTTGTTCACGGAGAATTCGAGCGTACTGACATGGTGGAATATTTCGGAGAACATATGGATGGTTATGTCTTTACGAAGAATGGTTGGGTCCAAAGCTATGGTTCTCGCTGTGTCAAACCACCGATTATTTACGGTGACATCCATCTCCCGAAACCTATTACGGTAGATATCACAAAGTATGCTCAATTGTTGACCAAGAAACCGCTGAAGGGAATGTTAACCGGTCCTGGTACGTGTTGTCAAAATTCAGATGTACGTCATAATTAATGGCTAATAACTATCTAGCTAATAACTATTTTTGAAATCCCATGCAGTTACCATGTTACAATGGTCATTCGTTCGTGATGATCAACCTCGCAAGCTGACCACACAACAACTTGCCTTGGCAATTCGAGATGAAGTCACTAACTTGGAGACCGCTGGGATCAGCATCATTCAAATCGATGAACCAGCCTTGCGTGAAGGGTTACCTTTACGTCGTGGTGAATGGCAAGAGTACTTGGAGTGGGCTGTTGATTGGTCGGTATTTCAATATCACGGTATCAGGAAAAGTCTCGTTACGATATATTCCACTCAATCTTCTTATTTGTATTATCCTTTTAGCTTTCTGCTCGCCAGTTCTCCGGTTGCCGATACCACGCAAATCCATACTCATATGTGTTATTCAGACTTTCAAGATATCATTGGTGCAATTTCACGTATGGATGCTGATGTGATCACGATCGAAAACTCTCGATCTGATTTGAAGTTTCTCCATGCCGAATCATTTGCATACCCGAATGAAATTGGACCAGGAATCTATGATATCCATTCACCGCGTATTCCGCAACAAGATGAAATGAAACATCGTTTAAAGGAAATGCTAAGGTATTTAAAACGTGAAGATACCTGGGTTAATCCGGATTGTGGGCTTAAAACGAGACAATGGAAAGAGGTGGAGTTGGCCTTGAAAAATATGACAGAGGTCGCGAGAAGTTGTAGAGAGAACGTAAAACTAGTTTCAGCTGTTTGAGGATGAGTATGTCTAGCATTAGCAAAGACTTGAAATAACTTTAAACGGAACAGATTAGCTCGGCTCTTGAAACAAACATGTTCAAAGTTTGATGTTAAGGTTAATATTAATGGAACAATTAAAGCCATATAAAACAATTGATTTCGAAAACTTTGTGGGCATTGGTTGGCGACAAAAGATTAGACATCAAAATAAGTACATGAGCGGGGGCCGATACACATTTTCGTGAATATCTCCGCGGTGAAATTTAAAATATTTTGTAACTATGAAATTGGTTTACATGCTGTTAAAATATTATTACAGACTATTATGTAGCCTAAATAAAAGATCATTATGTAGCAAGCCGAAGAGTACCCGTAGGCCGAGGATCCCCAACAAAAAGTTCACCAACGGTCGCTATTATTTGCCTCTTGTAGCAGAATTGACATAGTAACGGTAAGTACATTACCTCACTAGGGTCTTCGCATTGGATTATTGAATGCTATCAGTATTACAGCAAGTTCGAATATTGTCTCAAACCCTCTTATCCGAAAGATGACAACTGGGAATCTATCTGTTTCTTACACATCAATGCCGGGAATGTGAGGCGTTCTAAGAACTCGGGAATGCTATTCTTGCAACAAGTTACGAGTTGCGCGCGCGCGGTGACATGGGGATTCCGAAATTGGATATTACGAGTCGCAAGAATAAGGCAAATTGACTTGACTTGTTTGAGAGTTTCTGTTCATTCGGTAATGTCGACAAGTCCGCAATATCAAATTTGTGAGTTATATCGTTATTAAAATCGTCCAATCGATTCGTCTGAATGTCAATTTCGCCGCGTGGCCAGCTTTGAGTAATTGTTCTGGTCATCAGCTCGATCTGTGATTATTATTAGTCCATTTTGCAATATAATTTCCCAATCACCTGATTAATACTGGCAACCCCTTTTTATATAATTAGGTTATTATATTAATATATAATATTTTGGGGGGTTAGATATACAAACATAGGGACCTCTTATATGAAAAGCCAAATTCGAAGTTTTTTTTTGCCGATCACTTTCAATAGTGAAAAAACGCAAACTTCAAATCCCTAAGGTTTTTGAAGGAAGCAAGCTATGCTCATAGCACTAATACCAATACACAATATAGCACATGTGCTATAAGAAAATGTGGCTATTTTTTAATTTTTTTATGAAATATGAAATAAAAAAGGTTTTACATTTGTAAACTTACGATTCTGTCAAAGGAAACGAAAAAGTAGTATTATTTTCTTAAAGTGCGTGTTATAGAGTATCCATTGGCATAGTTTTTATGAACGTAGCTTACTTCCTTCAAATGTAAAAATTTTTTTATTTAATATTTTTCCAAATTTTTTTATTTAATATTTTAAAAAATAGCCACATTTTCTTATAGCACATGTGCTATATTGTGTATTGGTATTAGTGCTATGAGCATAGCTACTACCGATATCTAACCCAATTATCGATAAGCGTTACGCTACACTGCCCAAGTGCTTGAAAGTTGGCAAAAGGCTCAGTTATACTCTTATCGCATATTACTTTAGCATGACAAGAATAATGAAGATAAAATTATTAGAATATAAGACGTCCCTTGCCCTGGAAAGATGAATGGACGTAATGTAGGTAAATAAAAAGGGGACTTGGGCAAACAAAAATCTATAATGTAATACTAATATGCGTGAAACGATGTACCTGCGGATGTGCGATGTAACACAAGTATTGAAGAACGAACATTTGTTCAACTTGAAAAGAATCCTTAAACTCAACTTGTTACTATGTCGTTGTCATCAGAAACTGTTAATCCAGCAATAGACGATTTGGTTCAATCCCGTTATGCGAATGGATACAATAAACTTGAATGGATTCCTTACAAGGAAATCACCAACGTAAAGCCGACTCAAATTGACAACGTTTACTACGCTGTTCGCAACCGATATGCAATAACGCTAGTATTACTTGGAAGTAGCGAAGAGTGCACACCAACACTTGTGAGTGAGTTTGCTAGAATATACTCACTTCCAACACACAAGTACAACAACAATGACAATAACTTTAGACGGTACTAGGTACTCCGAATGGCTTAATCGTCGCAACAGACTCATTATTGGATTCACCAAGTCTAATGACAAGGGACTTTTTTCTGCACTTAAAACCTATCGTTGGTTCAATTCCAACTCGCCCAGCAAAACTAATAACTATTACATGGTTGCTAATGAACGCTTTGACCATTGTTATTCTCGATATGGCTTCTGCTCCACATGTGGAATACTCCGATGTAGTCCCGTGTGGTGCATTTGTGGT